GTGCATTGCTACTTGTTGTCATGTTACACTGTGTTTGAATCTGTTTTATAACTGTTTTAGTTTTTGAAGGAGGTGATAGTGCATTTGTAGCCCTTGAAAGTACCAGTATGTGTGACTTTTTGAGGGGAGGGGGTAATACATAAGGCTGCTTTTTTTTATTTAAAATGATGTATTTCTTTGGGGGCAGGCAGACCATCGCTGTAACAATTTTGAGATTACAAATGTACCCGTGAACGAACAAACCAAAGAACATACCACCCAAGCAACCAACCAAGGAACATATCAAACAACCAAGCAAGCAAGCCATGCCTGCAGTTTAAAGATTTCATATCAGATGTATGTTTTCATATGAAAAAAGTAAGTTGTGAGAGCAGGATTGAAAAACACTCTTTACAAATCAAAAACAACTATGTTGATCAGAATTAATTTTTTATTATTTTCCCTTATTTGTGTAATACTAATTAACAGAAAAGTATTAATTAACAAATGAAAATATGTTACAAATCCCAAACAACTGTGCCAATCAGAATTTATTTTTTTATTATTTTCCATTATTTGTCTAATACTAAGTAACAAAAAAGTATTAATTAACAAATGAAAATATTTTTTTACAAATCCAAAACAACTGTGCCAATCAGAATTTATTTTTTTATTATTTTTCATTATTTGTCTAATACTAATTTACAAAAAAGTATTAATTAACAAATGAAAATATTATGAATGCACATTTCGAATTGATATTTTATTGACTGATTTGCGGAGACAATGAAATTGGGATTTAAAATTTAAAAAAAAAATTATATATTGATTTTTAATCACCTGGAAATTAATTTTGATAGACTTTTGCATTAAATAGGGCCCTCTAGTTGCAATACACTTCTTCTAGCACCCTATTGTAATGAAACTCTTTTGTGATCAAATGACGTATATACTGGGTAATCAAAATGGAATCTCTATGAACAGCTTTTGTTTCAATTATGTTACCACTAGAGGGCACTACTCATTGGGAAAGCATATTGAGTGGTTAATAGTCTTTACTCGCCAACAAATCACAATGAAATTGATCACATTGATATATTTTTGACTTCACTATACACTTGAGTAAATATCCAAAATACGAAAAGGGAACACCATAATTCTGTCAACAACATTACTGATGATGCCAGTGCTTTATAATTTTCGGAGACGTGGTAATGATTGAGTTCTCAGGCTGAAATTGAGTTGAGCAGGGACCAACTGTGAACCCTGAGAGGCCCTAGATTTGAAAAGAAAAGATACATGAGAATTAGCAAAGTTACATATAAAAATAAATAAGTCAAAAAGAAGCAGGAATAGATATACAAGAAGATATCCTATGATTGGCCAAGAAATATACAATAGTGACTTCCGACATATGCGCTAGGCATGTATGTGAAAGGTAATATGAGAGGTATGTGGTAAAGACCCCCCCCCCCCTCCATTTTTTCTAGAAATTATAGAACTGGGAGTACAATTGTATTATGACTATGTAGACTACAGGGCTTTCTTTAGGTTCATATAGGAAGTACAATTTTAAATTTAGTGCCCTTTGTTTGTTTTTTGTTCCGTTCCTTTTTGACCGACTGGCAACCATTTTTATCCCATATCCCATTTTTATCAGCACCAAAACTGAGTTTTATACCTGTTTTTCACATACAAAATGTTTGACCTTTGATCGACTGAAATCACAGAATTTAATCATTAGGCCAAAAAAAAATTGTTTTGTTGCCCTCAGCGACCGACCGAAAAATATGAAATATCGGGTCACGTTTTTTTTTCCCATATACCTTGGCTATTTACGATACCCTTAGTTTTCACAAGTTTAAAAAAAAAAATCCGACCGACCAACCCAATTTTTCAATTTTCCGACTTGAGGGCAACATAAGTTTTTGTTTTTTTTTTGGCCTTACACCAACATAGTTTGGTTTTTTTTTTTTATTCAAATTTGAAAACTTTTAGGTAATTATAGCCCTCAATTGGGTCATTAAAATAATTGTGTATATTGTGTATATGTATAATGCATAACTAAGTTATGTGATTCAATTTTGACTTTACCTTGGTTTATAGAACTCCTGTAGTGATTGGTTGTTAGATCCCTGGTGTACTTTGGAGTGATATTTGGATCCTACTTGTCTTGTACCTTCCATAGTAGTTGCTAAGAATCTTGCATTTCCACCATATCCTGTCGACATATAATTAGTGCAGTATGCTGCTTTAATTTTGAGGGAAACACATTGTCATAAGCAACTTTATATTACACAACTTTGTAACACTTGGTAGGACAGTGTCACATGACTATTGAAGAGTCCAATTATTGAGTGTGTCACATGACTTGCTGTGACCCACATAAATTGCACATTCTCAAAAATTCACAATACAAAAGTTATTGATAAACTTATCTGACCTCCTAATGACATAACGCTTCTTGATAATTCCAGAAACGTAAAATTTCTTCTAGTTTGGAATACAGTAGACATATCACCTCCATAGCATGCATTATTTTTATATTGCACGCTCCGAGAGAAAAGTTGTCCAACCAAAGTTTCCAACCTGTATGGAACAAGGGAAATAAAAAAAGGATACATTTAAGATAATGTTGATGAAATTTCTATTTTATGTATTTTTGTTATCATAAGGCAATAAAACAATTCGCTACTGGTCTTTGCTCTGATCAAGAGTGGGCTCAAAATGCAGATCAACATTTCAACTGTACACATACAGTATATTTATCTAATCCTTTACCATAATCCTAAGACACATTAAATTAAATCTTACATCTCAAATTCTAAATCTGTACATTAATGAATAACAATGCCCAAATCTTTTTTAAAACTACTGTGTTTATTTGACTTCACTGGTGTGTTACATCATTTTCCTTAGGAAAAACGAAAACAAAATTAAGTGTACCGGTATAAACTAGGTGTCTTTTAACTTGAGAAAAGTTCACTATATGGTAAATTAAGGGACTTGATGCTAGTAAAACTGATT